AGGATTGTCGCTAGTGGCACGAACCCGATCTTATGTTTGAGTGGGTCGGGAATTCGAAATGCTGTCCCAGACCTGCATGCACCGACAGGGCTGTTTGTTTCGCTGAAATTCTTAGTAGGCCCCTACACAGCCCCTGCTATCAGAACAGACTCTCAAAAGAATAGATGTTGGCGGAATTGCTCTTAAAATCGTTTTAGCTACTGTTCTGTATATATACAATTAAAATAAATAAATAAATAAATAAATAAACAAGAGACATGTAATAACCCCGTCTCCGAGTTTCACGGGCATACCCAGAAGGTATGCCCGATCGTCAGGAGGTTTATTTGAAAATGGTTTTATTAGCCGTTTTTACGTACACGGCGTGACGACACTTACGTCGCACGCCGTGTTAGTTACGTCACCTTATGCCGACACATGGTAATTATTTCAGTTCTTTTATTTCTAATAGGTGTTATCATTATTAACAGTTTTTCGTCCAGGCAAAGGTTGCATAGGAGCTGATTTTCCTTTGCGTCGTTGATTTCTTTATGATGTCCCATCTAATGCCATACTGGGTTTTATTTTCTTTTAATTTCCAAATGTATTTAGATAACTCAGTTTCTACAGCATATTTTTTGTCCCTAAATGACTTAGTGTGCTTATTATATCTCAACTTAAATTGCCCACCACAAAGGCCTATATATTTCATGCATTTGCTCTTTGTAATAACTGTTGCTTGGTACACAATGTTGCTAGACAAACATTCCCCTCTCAAAGGACACTTGCTTGGTAATCTACAATTACATTTCTTATCTTGAGTGTCGTCACGCCGTGAACGTAAATACGGCTAATAAAACCATTTTCAAATAAACCTCCTGACGATCACGGACTTTTTGAATTAAAATGGAGAGAACAGACTAATTTGTTCGGTTACTTGTCTTTATATATATATATATTCTTTTACTCATCGTTTAAAGGTGGTTTTTAGAAAATAAATAAATAAATAAATAAATGAGAAGAGTTCATAGCACTCGAGGCAAACGCGGCCACAAAAAGCTATATATTCGGCTGAGAGGGTGACCGAGAGGGATTCAAATAAAGAATATTAGTGAATACGTAGCGTTTTCTTGAGTTGTTTTCTGCACAGTACATATCAAGATAACCAATAGTTTTTCCGTACCAAGGGTTATTGTTAAATCACAATGGAAAGTTCCTCAGCACACAGAGAGCCGTAGTTGATCAGGGAAGTGAAGCAATGTTGGCAGTAAAAATATCAGTAGAGACGGACTCTGAAATGTAGAAACTGAACTTTTTCTCTTTGATACATACGTGTTACCGAACCTGAACTATGGAAGCGAAGTCTGGGAGTTTCGTAAATCGTCAGTTATACATCTGCAATATTGTTAATTGATCTTGGGAGTAAAACCCTCTTTACACTGGACAGCGACCATGAAACTTGCCAGGTTGCCGTTGGACGCTCAAAGAACACACGGTGATCGCTTAGGTCGCACACAGAACGTTCGAGCATCGTTTATCGGTCTAGCGGGAGGCAGTATAAAGATCTTAGAATGATAGCCACTGAACGTCGATGAAGGTACAGAGTACGTAACGAAGGGTTCGTAAAGAACCCTTGAACCCTGTAGGTTGTGCAGGGGACGCACAGGGGAGACAGGCGGGTAGCTCAATGGACGCACAGGTCGCTCGCTGTTTTACCAGTAAAACCTATATTCGGTCGTTCAAAGAAGGCACAAAGGACGAAGAAGCACTTACACTGAGACACGATTTAATTGTTTTTTCGACAATTGAGCTTCTTGACCACATTTTTGATTGTAGAAGGGACGCTGAAATGACGCCGTCCACTGTAAAGGGGACTAAATTTAAAGTAACAAAGTTGTGCCGTCTGCTGTTTATAAAAAATTAAGGTAATTCCCACTGTGTAGGGAATTAACACGGGGTTTTTAAATGTTATTCGAGGTTGAGCATTTTAATTCAAGCGAAGGACACATTTTGCCTGCACAAAGTGAACTATTTATTTGATTTTTCAATCAACAACCAATGACTTTCATTGTGTGACTTCACTGAACAAGCAGCGAGTTATATGATACAAAAACAGTACCAGTGGGTTTTACGCTTTTTGAAAATTTCAAATTGGGGAAATTTCAATATCAATAAATTAAAATTATAAAATTTTAAATGTCAGCAGGTCCCGTATATAACTGATAATAACGCATGGAATTATTCTTGTTGTTCCGTGATCCAACCATATCACAATGCAGCAAGCCGTCAATAAACTAGCAGTGTTTCCTCCTTAATATCCTATGACCAATTAATAATCAGAATAATTCCTAATTTTGACAACCATTAATTTCTCAGGAGCTTTAAGATAGCATGTGTATTACATATTCAAAATATCAATGACCTTCTTCTTTGCATTTCTTTGTAAATTGATGTTGATATTTGAAACCTTTCCAGTCATTTTAATAATTTGTTGTTCTTTTTCGGTCACAATTTTATTATCTTGAAGCACCGGAATAATCAAAACATGCATTTCTTTTCCAAATAATTTTTCTAGTTTTCTTGGATCTGCGCATCTAACATTCATATGTAAAAATCAAAGCCGGTACAGATCAGATATCCCATGTATCGTCATCAGCACTTACGACTTTAGTTCATGCATCTAAAAGCATTGCTTATAATATCTAAGAAAATAAAACAATGTCGAAGCGAATGCCTGATTGCTAAATGCATGTCTCCAAGGTGGAAATGAAGCGAAGTCAGTCTCGTTCTCACTATCCGCCGAGGCATCAATGTCCTCAATGTTGCCGATGTCTCCTTCCATGACATATTTGTTTGCCCCGATAGATGTCATCTGGTGTGTGTAGGCCATGGGGGACGATCTACGGGGATGCTCTGGCGTGGAGCTGACTTTATATTTCTGTCCCCAGAAACAGCGATAGGCAATAACAGCAGTAAGGCACAGTGCCACCACTCCACCCACTGCGCCTGCGCCGGCCTTGAAGCCCACCGTCTGGTACCATGGTTCTTGTGGGGACTTTACAACAGTCGCTGAAATAAAGAGAATATAATTTGTTTCATTTACTTGCGGCAATTTTTTTTCTGTACATCATCCTCGGTTTACCTTCTTTGTGTCTTTCATTCTTTTGGTCATTTTACTTTTTTCTCAGCTTGGCGTGTTCCCATGACACGTTATTTGAAAATATACAGGTATGTGTTAAGAAAACATACAGGTATTGCACGTATAACTAAGGACTTAGGGTCATTTGGTAAACGTATCATTATAAAATTACCCTATTAGCCTACACATCACCGGATGTGGAAATTACTTACTTTTTATCAGGTGTTTGTGTTCGTTTAGATAAAAAGGGGGATTCAATTCATGCGTGTTAACTTGGTCATTGTTTTGAGCTACTGTAACATACCTTGTTTTGTCGTCGTCTTCGGCGTTGGTACTGTCCCACTATTTGTCACTTTACCCGCAGTTGAAGAACTCCCAAGTGTCGTGGAGACCGGTGCTACGGTGTTAGTCGTAGGGTTCACAACGACTGTATCATTTCGTTCCTCAACAAGGTGTCCGTAGACAGAAATAACAACAGGCAAGATGGCGGACTTTGGTGGCTCTCCTCCATCCTCCGCCAAAATGGTAAGGTCATATCGATACTGGGCTGGGTAACGCACGACGCTCAGCTCTCCGGTGTCTTCGTTGACAGCAAATACAGCATCAGGGTTGCTCTCGTTGGTTATAAAGTGTCGAACCGTTCCGTACGACCCACTGTCTTTGTCTGTGGCCAGGAACCGCCCTACCGTGCGTCCTAGCTCGCCGCTGGCATTCACTGGAATCTCTGGGAAACCAAACAACTGGAAAAGTGGTGTGTTGTCGTTGACGTCTTGGACAATGATGGCGACCTTGGTGGCAGCACTCTTGGGCGGTACGCCCTTGTCAGATGCCACTACTGTCATAATGAACTCCTGCGGAAGACTGTCGTAGTCCAGTTTGGCTACCACTGATAACTGTCCCTGACTGTCCATGTTGAAGAACCGCTCCGCTCCGTTGCTTCCAGAGAAAGTATACTCTAGTTTGCCATTTCGCCCTGTATCTAAGTCTGTCGCGTTAATCATGGTAATGTTCTCTTGAAACACGATAATAGTTCCTGGTGGGGCATTTTCCGGCACAGTGCCATTGTACCAGTTGTATGCAAACACTGGGCTGTGATAGTTTGAACCAATTTTAATAGAACAGTCGACGCCGTCGTATTCATCCAGACATTCGCACTGGTTAGGTGAGACGCAACTTCCATTACCAGAGCAGTTGGCCACATCACTGCAGACGGGCTCGTCACAGCGTTCACCCAGCCAGCCGGGAGAACACAAGCACGTGTCCAAAGATACACAAAGTCCATTGCCTGCATAGAGGAAAGACAAACACAAGTATGTCACATAGCGTAATATAGAAAGAGGAACAAATGCAATCGTTGCGGATGTAACACATAAGACTTATGACTTTTATTTTAAACTAGTTTCTTCCGCACCGTGTGCAAACTCCCAATGAACGCATTACTGGCAGATACCTGCTGGTCAAGTGGATGTTTTAACGCTTTTCTTTGAAAATAAACGGGTTAGTCGCACAGTTAGAATAAATATATACAACCATATATAATATGTCATTGTGGGTATGAATTGAGTTATACAGTTATTACCAGAGCAGTATCCAAGAGCTTCACATGAGAAATTAGAGCAGTCATTTCCCCCGAAGCCTGGGTCACAGTTACAGAGGTTGGACTCCAAACACGCACCGTGTCCTGAACAGTTGTTTACGGCAGAACATGAGACGGTGTCACACGTGTCGCCACGGTAGCCTTCAAAACACCTGTTACAAATATTTTAGAAGGGAGAAAATAAAATCATAAATACATGTACTGTTTTCCTCCCTCAGAAATTCTCTAAATTTGTCATACGGCAAATTGTAAAAATTATAATAACACTTTTAAAATCGTCTTATTTTAAGTGTCATAAATGGACCCAGCCTATGCTTTCACCAAACATATATTTTAAAAACCGTTGTTACGTGTCACTTTCGTAGACAATTGCTGTGGGATTTCTGTTATTAAGATATAACCAAATGTTTGCCACCTCTAAATGAAGGTATCATTCCCTTCAAAGGCAGCGCATACACCGTGGTCATTACAACCATTTAACGATGTGCAATTCTTCATTGCAGTGCAGTTTTCACCATGGTAACCGTCATAACACGTGCACGTGTGAGGTGACGTACACACCCCGTGTAGGGAGCAGTCATTATTTGAAGAACAGTCTGGCAGAGCGCAGCTGTCACCTTGCCAACCATTGTCACAACTGCATACGTCGTATCCTTTACACTGACTGTGGCCTGGAAAGGTAGAGATGCTTCAACATTCTTCTAATTGAACTACTGATGATAACGCATATGACAGTGATGTATAATAGCATATCGTATAGTACTGCTTTATTCTATCACATATTGTTACATGTCGCATTATACAAAAACGTTTTGTTTTTTTGTTTTTGTGTACTTTATCAAATGCATCCCTTTTTTCATATCATTCACGTAAAAACAATCGTGAAAATCTCTCCTATGAACAACACACCTGAGCACGCCGCCAGACGTTCACAAGAAAACTCTGTGCAATTTGGCCCCGCCCATCCGCTGTCACATTTGCATACGTCAAAGTCCACGCAGACCCCGTGACCGGAGCAGTCAGACACGTTGAAACAAGTTGCAACGATGCTACAGTCACTACCTAAATATACAGAATTGAAGACGTGCGTAAATTAGTGTAAATTAGTTTTTTTCTTCTTTTTTTGTTGTTGTTTTTTTTTTTTTTTTTGCCACAGAAACTTCGTAAATTAATTTGAATATACAGGTAGGGTGCATGAAATACTTTTCTTCTTAGATCGATCCAACTGCACGGGGACTCTCGCTGAATGCAATCGAATTAACTACATGACAAGTTTCCTCGGGCGTTAGGGGTGATCTCGGTGTACGCTCTGGTTCTGGAAGATTTTGCCATTTGCCTTATAAGCAAACAAGTTAATCCTTATTGTAATGCATACCCACAAATCCTGGTTGACAGCGACACCTGTTGGTCCTGTAACACCCCTTACGAAAATTTCCTATAGGATCCTATAGGATTCCTATAGGATCCTATAGAATCCTATAGGAAATCTTATAGGATCCTATAGGGCACCTTTCCTATAGGATTTCCTATAGGATCCTATAGGAAATTGTGGTAAGTTAAAATCTTGAGAAAAATGCATAACTTATAAACAAATATCATTCTAAACAATAGATATTTGATATAAGTCAATCTTATCAGTTGAATTGTCAATTATATATCACTATTAAAGCAAAAATGCTTTTTATTGTTTGTAATGCACAATCTTATAGTCTTCTATAGGATTCTATAGAAAAATTCTTTAATTTATATTTTAAAGAAATCTTGAAAAATTGATCATTTGTAAAGTAATCTTCTATGGAGAAGTATTTTATGATTAGGAATGATTTTGTACCAAATCACTGAAGCTGAAATTATTTTTTAAATTTATGTTCAGACCATTACAAAAATTCCTATAGGATCCTATAGGAAATCTTATAGGATCCTATAGGAAATCTTATAGGA